CAACGACTGATATCAATCACGGCAGGCTTCAGATCAGTCTATTAGAGTGGGATAAGGTTTTCTTCGCTGATTTGGATCTTTACGCATATTCGACGTGATGAAAGAGGCTGAAGCCCGGGAAATCCAGGATCTATTGGATATGGCGTACAAGGTGGCGGCGGAAATGATCATGGAAAGGACGCCCGAGGGGCTTGAAGAAATGTTTGGGGTTCATTGGTATGATTCATGAGATGACTACAGTCGTGTTGAGGAAAAGTGTGGGTCTACAAAGGGAGCGAAGCAGGGAGATATATGTTTTGAGGATGGGTGGGAGTCTACAGAGGGATTGGAACAGGAGTGCGTCCATGGCGAGAACGAGTGGAAGTATACAGCTGAAGCTGAGTACATCTGTAAGTGTTGTGAAGCGTTGAAGAATTTGCTCTAGGTATGTAAGATAAATAGGGATATGTCTGCTTTGCTGCCGACAAGGTCGGTTCTCATTTCCAGGCGTCTGATGCTGGTTTAAATCCTGGTCAATGGGCAATGCACCCAAATCAAAGGTACTGGGGTGCGTACTCTATGACATTGTCTAGGTGAATGAGGCTAGACATTGCTAGCGTCGGCGCACGCACCAGCGCCCCTCAGGTGGGGAACAGACGCAAACAAAAACATTTTTACCTTTTGTCGGAGTCAGTGCTGGCTCCTACTTGTGACTGCCATGTCAGCATGGAGAAAAGAGCATAGCAACACAGACAGCAACGCAATTCCCACAACCGAAGGGAGGAGCGGGTGAGGAGATCGCTTACCCTGCACGCGTAGCGGTGGTGCAATCTATCTGGGATGATCGCATCTGGATAGCCACGATCGATGCGACCGTGACATCCCTACACGGTCATTACATCCACGTTCCCATATCGACCCTACATTGCCCTAGGCATGAAGTTTTGCCTCTGAGAAGGCTGTCACACTCAGAACAACAATCATCTTCCTGGATTGAGGCGAGGGGTCTGCGTCCGGCGAATAATTTGCGTGGACGTGAAGACGCATGACCACTATGACTTGATACGAGACCTGACGCTTCACATGCTTCACTCTCACGACAATTTTGTAGTCATGAAGTTCTTGACTCCGACATGACTGTCGCTCTTACAACAGATAGTATTTTTGTGGGCGGAGGCGATGGCACTGCATCCAGTGGACAAACTGCCGAGGCGTAATTCCGAACCAACACCAAGGCTTGGGACGAGCATCAAAGGTGTCTACCCTCCTCGTTCCACCTGATAAACTTCACAATGTACCCGGATAGCCATCGCGCCCGAGTTATTACAGCTTTATCGTCGGCTGTGAATGAGCACACCATCGAGAGTTTGACTGTCCTTGATGAAGTGAAAAGGCGTGCCACGTAACAACTGTTGAAGGACGAATGGAGCAATCTTTAAGCATTCCGATGCATCATTGGAAAATTTTTCAGAAATCAACAACACCACAAGGACGACGTCGAGACTTCCATCCTGCAGGGATAGGGAGAATTATGTTCAGAACGCCACTCACATAACATCGGATTTCCCGGAGAGGTAACCTTGAAAGGAGTTGCGATTAGAGGTGTGCCGCATGTCTACGTCAAGAAGGTACAGCCAATTTATGCGAATGATGGCCAACTCGCTAATGGCGTTGAACATAACGATAGTGAAGTCGGAGATCCGACCACTAAATTGTTTAGGGGCGTTACCGTCTTGGCCAAAACCGACACTGTGACAGTGAAGGTGCATATCCCAGATTACTCGCTCGGCATGACCTATATACAGTGCATGACTGCTGGAAGGCCTGCAACCAGCAATCAATTCGAGTGGAATACAAAAGCTACTAAGGATGTGCCGTGCGAAGTCCAGCACACATGTCGTTACAAGATTTACCCACACTACCACGACTCCAAGGAACCGAAGAAGGATCTATTCGCGTGAAAGAGGTCGAGTATACAGGCCCGGCTGTACTGCTTCAAATCCTGGCGCCCAAAGATTCGCTTTACAGCACGGTTGTCAGTTCGGATGGAATAACGCTCTAGAAGAGAAGCTGTAAGAGGCATTAAAATGACTCAGATGCCGCGGTGGCCGCATATTTGGCGCCCGGCCAGCCAGGGGTTGTAAGTGGCAAGATCAACACGAAGGAAAGGTAACTTTGCTGATAAGATCGGCGACACTCCGTCATTGCTCCTGACTGAATGAGCATGTGACGGTTCCTTTGGTGCTGTAATGTTCTTCCCGATCGTTCGTGTCAATGGTGTAGACTTTGATGAAGCAACTTAAAGAATCGGCAGTCTGGCCAAGTTCCGCAACTTTCTGCGGCGGGGGGGAAGCCCCAAGAAAAGCGTTTCTCCACCTGTGTGGTATATCCTCCCAATGACACCCGGGAGCTGGATTTGGTCTTCGTGGTGCTTCATCATCAAAGTTAGAACCTCGAAGAGACTCTTCACCTCTTCACCGCTCCCTCCATCTCTCGTCCACCACCTCGCCCGGCCACAGTCCTGCTATCGCTCCTAGCAAAGAGAGCGTGGAATTGGGAGCGCGTCTGCAGCGCCAAAGGAACATCTCGCCTGTTGATCGCGGCTGCGTTAGCTTTCTAAAGGCATGCACGGCGGCGTCTTTCTCGCTTCAAGAAACACCAGGCCATTGGATCTGACCGTGATATAGTGGCGTGCTATTTCAACATTAAACACATGCCTTTTTTCACAAGCAGATCGTGTGTGAAGTCAGGAAAGGCCGATTTTTTGGCGATTGCGCGCATCTACTTTCCAAGAAACCCACGCTGTCGTGTGCACCGCAAGCCGTCCAGCCAGGTTTCTCGCCAATACCTAGTTGTGCCGCATTATCTAAGTGATGCAAGCACTGGCAAGCTTGTACCTCTATCAAACAAACATGCCTCAACCAAGGCTTTGTCCGTCAGTTTGTAGTGACACTGAAGAAAAGACCCATCCAAATCAATTATTAATGCTTAGGCCACCTTATTCCAGTTTCATTGCTTCTTGTGGGCCCTCTTGTCCACGTCTCACATAGAAAAGTGTCGCGTCATGATTCCTGCAAGATGCCGAGGCACAATGCAAACCGTTAAAAAAGTCAAGCACAGGCCACTAAAATCCACATACCACTATATACGTTCTTTCCCGTGCATCAGATCCTACAGTTCGTATAGTGAAGTGCTCTTGCCGTGGTGGAATGGATCGTGATTAGTATTAGGATGTGTACGAGGAAAAACCGTGGTCGCGGCCTTCAACGAGCTCCGCTATCCATCACACTTCGCTTTCTTAACTTCGCCATCATTCTGAAGGTGTGGCTCCGTAACGGAAAACGATATTTCCTCTCGACGAAAACCCAACGTTCATCCAGGCTGAAGTTGAGGCGCAAAATCTCGTCAACTCACGGGCAACTGTCGCAGCAATCGGGACAGAGATTGGAGGACTCAGAACAGATGGCCCGGGAACTGTTGCACGTCTCACGTTTGTCGCAACAGTCACCGAGGAAAGCGAAAAAGAGGTCGCGTATGCCGAACCAGATGGAGCTGGAGAGGCCGGTGTCACCAAGGGGCGGGAAGGTTCAATCGCTCCATCTTCCAGATGGAATTCTCTTGGGCTTCGCACGGTTCCTGCGCGGTAATTAGGACCCCCTTCGTAGTTTTTGTCTCTTTCGGAGTGCCTGGTTCTTTCCGGACCGTGAATTCCTTTGGAAGCATGCCAGCTGCAACAGGCTAGCAAACGTATCGTAGTGTTCCTGGTAGCACCTTGCCTCTTTTGCGAGGTCGCTGCATGTGACATTCACCCCATCTGAGAAGGCGGTCATCAATACTGTAGTTTTCCGCGTGTGCGTTGCCTGCGCATCATTCCGTTCTGGGCCAACGGCGGTCCACTGGGTTTTCTTGTACTAGGCGATGACTCTCCATGGTTCGCGGCATACCGAACAGGTTGAAGTCGTTGACGCTGGATGAGTATCTGAGTTCTTCACATCAAGCCCATGATCTCATGCTTGAGCTCGACGGTTTGCAGGAAGTCTTTATCGACTGGATCCCGCCTAATTATGGTATAATGGGCATATTCGACCAACTCATGTACTGGGGCAGGATGCGACACCTGTGTGCTTGTCCTTGGATACACCAGCTCCTGATAAAGAACGCTATTGACGCACTGAGCCCGCGGTCGTTTATGGAGCTTTGCAAAGTGACCGGTGGCGTCAAGGAACTGTCTGTGGATATCGTGAGGCCGTCGAGGCTCTTCTTTTAAGCTATTACAAGCGTGCAGTTAACAAAGAGGCTGGAGTTGACGATCCAGCGCAATACGCAGGAAAGCGCACCCGTAGTTGACCGCAAAGCCGTCACATCTCTTGCAAAGTTGAGCGACTTGATGCAACTTGCTTTCCACAGAAAAAGTGGTGCAGGGTTCGTGTCGCTCCGGCCAAATGACTGTTACATTCTGTTAGAGAGCTTCCACAACTCAGACGTTTTAATTTTCTGGTGCCATGGATACCGAGTCCTTCTACTCGCTTAGACGGGATTGCCCCAAACTCCGCGACTGCCTGGTAAACGACATGGTGGACTTTACTTTCTTCGAAGACAGGAAGCTTTACATCTTTCCGAACTGGGAGATGCTCAGCGTAGCGGTTATTGGGATTGAGGAAGTTGATCTTGAATCAGCTAGACCGTAGGCTTACCACATCTCGAGAATCATTGCTCTCAAGCTCACTTCTTTCCGTCTCATCCCGAATTGATCTGGAGTTATCGTCAAGCTTGCTCTTAAGGCATATTCACAAAAGATAGTTTGGAGCGGTTTAAACTCTTGTATGCGCTACTGGACATATTCGACAGGACGAAAATCTTTGCAAAGGGGTTCATAGACCTTAAAAGTGGGGTAGAAAAAGAAAAGGGGCCAAAAAGTACGTGTCTTATTCAGAAATGGGACCTTCTGGACCTCGGAACAAATACAGGAACGACGCATTACACTCAACCATTCACCTATGTGAAAAAATGTAAAAAAGACGTGGACACTAAGAGAATTGAACTCTTGACCTTTCACATACACACAGATACTCATATGGTCACAAATGCGAAGCGAAAATCATACCCCTAGACCAAGTGCCCCATTCACGCTTATATGTTGGGGCGTCATTGATATCAATGTACAATCTATGGGATATTTCTTAAGCTAATGTCTTTCCATTGCCGCTGTGGGACCTGGGAAATCGAGCTGCAACATTGATGATTCATTGCATGCGGCTTTGAATCTACATCAGCCGAGGGATGAAAATCATTCGCCTGCCTTGTATACGTAAATTTTAACGAGAAGTCATTGCAGAGTATGACCTGCTCTCCAAGGTGATGAGAAAGCAGGCGTTAAATTTCGCATCAATCCTCCTGCGCACTTGCTGAGTGTCCAACATCAGACCACTCTGCTCATGGCGCCCTTGAATAATGATGACACACGTATAATTCATGGAATACCAGACTGTGAGCAGTCCACACATTTGCACACAGACATTGTGTCCTCCTAGCAGCCTATTCCTGCCCCCAATCGCGATCGACACTTCGTTCAAGAAAGCCATTCAGCCACGCTTCACGGCTCTCCAGGAGCATGTAGCTATGTTGCGAGATTTTCAGGGCAAACACGTGATGGGATCGCTGCCAGTAGCTAAACGTGCTGTTGTTGATCCCATCAGCTTTAAGCAAGCAGTTGCTCTCGCATTTATGCGACCTTTATACCTCCCTTTCTACGCGGTGATCAGTGATGAAAACCAATCCCGTCTGGGGCATTGCCATCATGGAAGAACTTCAAGCCAGTCTCTCCACGGAAGTTTTAGGCGCTTGGGCGGGATAACCGAAACATTGAGAGCAGGCAAACAGGATAAGGGGAACTAGACGGCCGCCATGCTCAGACCCAGTCTGTGGTGAGCGAAGCATAATCTTCATGGCTCTCCAGAGCTTGCTAGGCCGCTGCGCAGTGGGAAGGGTGCCGCAAGCTCGCGTGGGTTGGGGCGACTTTCCACAGAAAGGTCTGCGATTGAGGCATAGGCGTGCATGCATCTCATCTAGCCGCCCTAAACCATGTTTACGATCACTGTGGACCAAATTGAACTGCTGCAGAGACATGTGAGAAGCAGGTCAAACGACCGCAAGTGTGTGAAGTCGGTAGGCTGGGAACAGCAAAAGGTATTTTTCACTGGCTTCGGTGCACTGCGTACGAACTTGCAGTTCCTTCTACGTATCTCCCTGGGGGGTAGAGATACGGTATGCGGGCTTTGGACGAGCTCAGGAGGCCCGTGGTCGGGACCGCACCGAGAGCGGCACATGAAATACTCGCTTCCAGCCACCGCGGCTATAGTCTGCCCTATCGTGCAGGTTGCCACAGAGCGATCCACATGTGATGACCCACACCCCTTACCATGGTTCAGGCACTTAATAATTTTCTCATGTAGCTCTAGATGCGCGTGTATACGAACAAACCTGCGAGGTGCCGCTGCGTATTAGAACCTGCCCCATCATTCAGGTAACAACTCAAGGCCCTCTGAATACGTATGTCTACACAAGCATAAGTACACTGAAGACCTTGAGGATGCCTCTATAGATGTGTATCTTTGCAGGCAGATTTTCAACAATTCCTGAAGTTTAAAGGTGGCGTTGTGTCTGAGAGGTGAACCTCTAAGGACTAAAGCGGAACGTAGATCAAAGACAAATGTGTGCACTCAAGTCTGACCCAAAGGTGAATGTAGATATCTATTTCCATGTGAGGTGAGGTTCAAAACCTTCTCCACACTACCTCAGTCTAACCGCATTCGCCAGGGCAACGTTAGCGAACCATGCCCTTAAGCAGCAACGAGATAATGTCCTGTCTCAGGGAAAACTTCCTCCATAGAGGTATAGGCCCTGAGAAGTTTCGACTTCTATCTAAGGTTCTGATCATGATGGGTGCCACATCCTTCTGATACGTTGCTACCACTTTTCACCGACCGACGAGATAGAATACTTCCATTTAAGCGCTTGCACAATAAAAGAGAGTAATAGAAAAAGCAATCGTTAAGCAGCCGCTCAGGCTGCGAGTGTTGACGCATTTTGTCGTACGCTCCAATTTTCCACACTATCGGCGCAACATCGGCTCGGTTTTACCAGTAATTCTCATTGCAGGGGAATGAGAGATGTGATGGCTGAAAGCCTTTTGCCCTGCGTGCTAGACCTGCTAAGAGTGGGATCAGTATACTAAGGGCATAGCCTTCGTAGTAGCGTGGTTATGATGTTTGATTGAAGCGGAAAATGCAAAACCTAGCCGTTTAATTCGGGGCAATAGGCCGCGAAGGGCAACCGGCAGCCATATAGAGGCAATGGAAGCTATGACAGTTTCGTATGCATCCTTCACTGTCTGGACATTTACCTATGAGAGAAGCTCGAAGTCAATCATGCCCAGAAAGGATGTAAAAAGGCCTTGTGTTAGATGATTACCTCCAAAGGTTTCGCGAGTCCAATATTAAAAACATCTTCCGGTGTCCGCCGCGGTAGCCGCGCCGAAAGGCTGGAAGCCGCTCACCAGAAACCGCCTTGTCGGTGATGCGAGGGACATACTCACAGTTGGTATGGAAGGCAAGGTATCATTCGGCGACTGCTAGCCCTCTACCAGCCGAATCTGGTGCCTCCGCGGCTACATCAACGCAGGCATGAAATACGAGTGCACACCCAAGGATTGCAAGCTCCGAGCCGAACAATGGGGCGACCGCCCCTTTGCGGAGCTAGTCGCCCACCTCAAACGGGGCACATTATATAGCATCGGCGTGCAGGTTATTTTGATGTCAAACCGTGGCTATGGCATCAGCGCCTGCCGCAAGTTCTCCCTCGTCCAGCTTATTATTGAATATATCGGCAGAATCGTCACCGAAGACGAATGCCAGCGTCGAAGAATGCTGGAGGAATACCAGACGAGTTCCTCCCACTACTTCATGGAGTTTGGCCGCGGCCTCGTCATCAATGCCATGAGGAGTAACATGGCCTACTTCAACAATCACTCTTGCACACTCAATGCCGTGGCGAAGAAGGTGACGGTCAACGGCCGTCCACGGCTGGGCATCTTCGCTGGGGACGACTGGAACAGATGGTATGTGCGAATAAAGATGGATGGAGAGTAGAGGTGTGTATATACGAGTGAATACAATTGTATCTACGAGGAAACACCAGAGAATATATTCTGGGCCGGAAGGCCGGTGCGTAGTCTCGTATGAAGAGTCATCAATCGTATGACCGTAAGCAAGTGGACATACATGCAGTAAGACCGTCAGCACGCAGTCTTAGTCCATGACTCACCTCAAACAGTAGCAGGGCGCATTCACCATGTCGCATGCGACATGACCCTGAGGGAAACCTCGGTGATGACAAAACCTAGGGTGCAGCTGCTAGTGTAAGAGGTGTCGCGCAGTGGCATCGTACACTAATAGCAACGGGACTTCATGCCAGCGACGACGGCGTCTTTCCCGGCCAAGACACCACTATAGACTATAACTATATAATCTTCGGCGATGCACAACAGGTGTGTCATTGTGGTGCAGCCAACTGTCGTGGCTTCCTTGGCAAAAGGACAACTACGGCAAAACGGCCTTAGCAGAAGCTGCAACCAATGCACAACTACTCGAGCGGGCTCAAAGGCCGGCAAGGAAGGTGAATTATTGAGGCGTACAAAGTGTCACGAGAGGGAGGTGAGTTGTGTACATAGCGTCGAGATACCTTGGCGTTTGATGGAATTTGAGTTTTTGGCCACAAACGCACTTTATCGTGATTGAATTATCAGAATGCACATATTAGGGCACTCAGCCTGTGAGCTATGAACTCCCCCTTTGGCTACACACCCACCCACAGTACCATTTTACAGAGAAACACAGCTCGCCTCTACCAATAGTATCTTCCTCCATGCGGGTCGTATTCTTCAGAAGAACCTTGCTTGCACTTCTTGAGGACGTCATTTACCTCCTTGATATGGGGGTAAGGATTCCAAACGGGAGGCTCGTAGTTCTTGTTCTCGTTGTCCTCCTGCTGCTTCGCCAGTGCATACAGAGAAGTGATGCCCTTGTAAACGATTTCTTCCCCCCGGAGGAGGATCCTCCGGGCGAGTTGCCGCTGCCGTCGGCTTTATCGGTTGTGACTGCCTTGAAGGCTGAGCCTCCCTCGGGCTTGTAAGCGGAGGGTTTCGGCCCCTCGCCGGGCTTGGTGGTGTTGTTCTTTGAGAAGGGGTCGTTGGTCACCTCGCTGGCGCTTATAGGGACAAAGTTGTCGTTGTTGTTTTTACTGATGATGATGATGATGATGCAGTGGTTTGTGTTAGAGGATAAGTTCCGTTGGCCGAAAAAATTGATTGGGGGAAGCAACGTGAGAAAAGTGATACGGTATGGGGGTTGTCCACACGATTGAAAAGAATGCACTCATGGAAACCAATTTTGTTTTGAGATGACGGAAAATAACAACACGGCGCCGCACGATCTGCTCTATATCATAGGCATTCATAATTCCTGCAAATTTTTTACAAGAGATGCTGAAGAGCTGGAGAAGGAAAAATCTGAACGCCTCTTTCAGTAGCATTACATGAGTGGCCCCGAACGCAGTTCTCACGACAAGACAGGCCCACAGTCACCAATCTTCCACCGCTCCCTCCCGGTGCATCGTTCGGCCAGAACACGATAATACTGTGTGCGTGCAGGAAAGGAAGCTACGTTGCCCAGAACTTTCTTCAGATACCGATATATTCTCTATCAAACAGAGGCTGTTACGGTAGGTTCAATAAGTCCCAACAATGAGGACAATCAGAACTGCTATTTACTGGGAAGCTAGGATACTATAAACCAATCCAGAAGCGCCGTCCATACGCGTGTGGTAGCGAGCGTAGCTATGAATAACTAGCAGGGCGCGTCGGCGTATCAAATTCCCTGTGCGCTTAGGCGGCGCGGGTCGTCCCGCGCACACACATCCTCGCCGTAATAGAGACTGGGGAGCGGTACGCAAGAGCAGGCTTGCTGGGGGTTTGAACAAGGTCAAGCACCCGCTAAGGAGGCATCCAGACCGCAACTAGCCACTCAGCACTTCTATAAAACACTCAGCCCACGCACTCCCTCCGC